ATATATATATATTTAGTCGTCTCTAAGAATGCAAGAGAATTCTTATATTAGAAAAAATGCAACACAGAAAAACATTCATGTTTCTTATTGTATCATATCACTTTTGTCTATCACAAAGTAGAATAAACTTTTTTTTGATGAAATAGAGGTATGAAAAGAAAGTACAAAGAATAAACTGAAAAAATATATTAAAATATTGTCAATGACTATCTATGGGTGGTCAGCTTCCTATGTACCTATGGGAGTGTTACTTTCTTGTGGGGAGGACAGGGATACTGGGAAATGAACGAGGAACACTCTACCTCTGAGTTACATTGCCATCCTAGTTGCCCAGGCAGAATTTAAACTTGCAATCTTCCTGCCTCAGCCTTGAGATAGCTGAGATTATTCCTAGCTGTGTGCACCATGCCCAGCTACGTGTTACCTTCTAGATAGTTGTCTGTGACTTCTAATTCTTTTGTTAAATTTTACAATCAACGTCTAGTACCCAAAACAAAAAAAATTAAAAATTCATGTTATGAAAAAATCCCTTTGAAGAAAAACTGGACAGTACATAAAGATTGGCTGTTGACATTTTTTGCTTGTGGAGTCATTTGGCTTGCTCCCCACCTTCCATAACCCTGGGGTGAGTTCCTAGAGGTAACAGGGCTTTTCTGTCTGATTATAACCAGAACAAGGCTCTACTGCAGCACCTTCACTGGGGATGACATAACAATTCTGTATATGCCATGGATTTCTTTTCGTTCCATTTTGAGCTGCTTATCAGAAATTCAGAGGTAGGGATGTAGCTCCATGGCAGAGCCCTGCCTAGAACATGCAAAGCTCTAGTTGGATGCCCAACACCGCCCGAATGAATGAATAAATAAATGATTCAGAGCAAGAATCACTTACTCATGTAAAAGGAGTGTTCCTTGACCTGAAAGCAGGAATTCAGCCTGTGATAACCTGGTGTGATGCTGGAAACCCAAAGACAATAAAGTCTGAGGTACAGATGGGAGAAGGGGACAGGACTACACAAGCTCTCTACTGTAAACCTGGGTTTTCACAGTGGACAAGAGGCTAACATTTTTGGTTTTCTACTTCTTTTTGTTTGCTTGTTTGTTTGTTTTGAGACAGGGTCACACTATGTAGTTGAGACTGACCTGGAACTCACTATGTAGCCCAGGCTGGTCTCAAACTCACAGCCATCCTCCTGCCTCAGCCTCCCGAGTGCTGGGACTACAGGCATGTGCCACCATACCCGGGTTGATCTTCTGCTTCTTAAGAAATGTGTGGCCTTGGAGTACAGTCAGGTATCTGACTACCATCAAATGATTGTATTAAGCAATTCGTAAATTAAATGCCTTTTAATAGACCAGTTATTTATCCAAGTATATATTTTTATATTTAATATAGTATACTCTTACCTGTCAAATTACTGGAAACTTGTTGGCACTGAACTAAAAATTCAAACCAAGGGTAAGCTTCATGTAATTCTTTCTTTCCCAAAAAAGGACAATTTTCAGGATTGAGTCTGTATTAAAATATAAAACCTCTCTCTTAAATACCTTATATCTTACTGTTTTTTACAACACAAATTTTTTAGCATTTTCAAATTTAAGAAATTTTTAAAAAACCTTTACACAACTACAGAGGAGCTAGAAATAAGGGGCTAAGGCTCAGAATAGATACTTTAAAATACAACTTTTAAATTTGTTCTCTTGTCATAGTAGCTTTGGAGAAACACACCTATATCTGAGTAAGCCTCAATGATATGAACCAGAAATATATTCTTTGTTCAAACTCCTAGGCTTTACTACACAAAATTTTTTTTAAAAAGTTTTCTAACAGGCAGAAATGTGAGCTCTGGAATCAAGGTAAACAGAATATGGTTGTGTCACTTACTAGCTATGTGCCTTAGACTTAGCCTCTCCCAAATCTGTTTCCTCATCTGTGAAACAGAGATGGAGTAACCACTCTGACGCTTTTTGTTTTTTGGTTTTTTTTTTAAGATAAAGTCATTTAATGCATATAAGGCACTTGGTCTAGCGCTAAGATCAGTGGAAGCACTGATATACTTCAGACTACGTTTGTTGTTGTTATTACTGACTCAATAACAATCAACACTGGCCCCAAATAGGATTCTGAAGTTTGATCTTAGATACACAGGGATGTACATCCACCATCTATAGAAACATGTTTTAGAGCTTATCTAATATATTATGAAGTGATAATGGATTCAAAGTTGATTAGCATTCTTTGAAATGAAAGTATCAAAGAACTGAGAGCTTTTATAATCTTCCTCTCTTTAAAACTTTAAAAAGCATGCCTTTCACTTTAATCTAATCTCAAGTTATTTATAAAGTTAACAGAGAGGTTATGGAATTAATACCACCAAAAAAAAAACCACATTTAGTTGCATGTGGCATGGAACTAAGGATTTACCATGTGTTGAGGTGGGAGAAACTACTTCAAAAAGAATATGAATCCTCATGTGAATGCTTATTATTTTCCTAAACATCAGTTTATAAGCAAAGAGGAAATGTGAAAAGTCAATTCTCAGTACTCACTCGTAATAGTCAAGATAAACATAAAGAAGATGCTGCAGGCTGTGTTCTAAGCAGTAAAGAATGAAGTGAGAGTGGAAATCCCAGCCCTCCTTGGTCTTGTAGTTTTGAACAGGCAGGGCATCTTGTATCACACCCCCAATTCGGCTCAGTCTTAGGAGCAAGAGTTCAAAGTCTTCTAGTTCAGATGCAAGAAAAATTCCATTCCTGCCAGCAAGTTAGAAAATTGCTGGGTTTAGAGCAGACCAAATCACTTTAACTAAGTCTCAGCTACTTAAAAAAATAAGTATTTAACAATTAAGGCTGCCAATTCTTACTCTATAAATAAATAAATAAATATATTCTTAGATACTTATTTTGCTAGTTTTCTATAAAGGTCTGTATACTTTTATAGCATTTATGCCCTTCTTCTTCATACTGGGGATCGAACTTGGGACCTTGCACTTGAGAGGCAGGCAGCGGCACAACTGAGCTAAATCCTCAGCCGTGGCTATACAGTGTTTAAATGTAGTAATTACAGTCTTAGGTTATCTTTGTTGCTATCTCTCCATTTGTTTGTTTGTTTTTGCTTGGATCCATACAACCCAGTAGGGTAACAGTGGTTAGCTCTTGAAGCTAAATGTTCTGATCACTGAGAAATTCACCAAACTATCCAAAGTTACTAAAAAGTTAGAATTTAAACATATCAAGTACTAAGCAATATGAATTTGCATTTAAATATTATTTTTTACAAGTTTACTGTTAAACACATCATATATACACATTATAAAAGAGCACAGAAAAATAGTTTAAAGAAGCCATGTGACCACTACCCAGCTTATAGAAAATATTTTGTTGTGCCTTGGTACATTTCTCCCATTGCATGATCTTGCTAGTTGCTATCCAGGCTTTTGTGGTAACTATTTCCTTACTTCTGTTTGTTTTTGTTTTTGTTTTTGGTACCCGGGATTGAATTCAGGACCTTGCGCTTGCGAGGCAGGCAGTGGAACCACTGAGCTAAATTCCCGGCCCTCCTTACTTCTATTTGTATTTTCAAACATGGCTTGCTTTTGCCAATTTTGAGCTTTATACACAAGTGGAACACTGGGATGCATTGCTCACCTAATCGGCACTGGTCTATTTATCCACCCACGGCAATACCTGCCACTAGAATTAGTTGTCATTGTTATGCAGTATGCCATTGCAAAATTACACAACATTTAAAACAATGGCACGAACAGTGAGTAGAAAATCAGGGGTTAAAAATTCAAATCTGTAAGTAATTGGCTTGAGCGAAGCATTTCATTGCTCTGGGTTTAACTCTCTACATCTTTAAACTGGATGGGACAGCAAAACACAAATATACTCCAACATGCACAAACAGAAAATAATACAACTTAAAAGTTACTAATCTTCATTATCAAGAGCTCTGAACTCAGCAACCATCTGAAGTTCAAGGCTACACATAGCACATGAGGGCAGGGGTAATATGGAGAAGGGTGGTTACAATTACAGGGCACTGAGGGACCTCTTCACTTCTAGCCACTTTTCCTTACAGCCCTACTAACAACAGTTCTACGTAAGTTGGGAAGAATTTACATATATTATGAGAGCCTATTCACTACCACATGATGTTAAGTGCAGACAGTACATGATAATGGCCTTTAAACTGTACAATATGAAACAATATTACACTGGATTTAAAGCATTGCAAAGGAAAAAAATTATGCCATTAGATATATGTGTGTGCATATACATATGTGTGTGTGTGTGTGTGTGTGTGTGTGCGCTATATATAGATATATTTCTTTTTTTGGCACTGGAGATAGAATATTGTAGGGAAATGTTCCACCATGACTTACACCTCCTGCCTCTCACCATTTTTACTGCTCTTCCTTTTACTTGTTCCACTGGGGATTAATACAAATTACAATACCTGGCTAGTTTATCTAAAACTGCATTCTTCATGTAGTTGTTGCAGCAAGTATTCTGATCAATAACATCACCAGTCAGAGGGGGCCACTTGTGCTGCTGAAGTGACACGTAATTTTTCTGGGTCTGAAATTCTCCAATCCACAAGGTAATGCTTAACCAATCATGGCGAGCTGTTAGGTATCTCCAGAGGGTTTCAGGGGAATATGATTTATATTCTATACAAAGAACAAAATACATTTTAAAATAGCAATTAATTATGACTACTGACATGTAACTCAACAGTGATTAATATAAATATAATTATAACTGAGTAATATATAAACAATCTAGACAAAAATATTTATATATGAATTTTTCAAGTTCTTTGCTTCTTTTATGATTTTCTCCTTTTGCATTGTTCACTTTATAATCAGTACTACAGCCAGAGTAAAAGCTAAATTTTGTATCTCATTACTAGCAGTTAAAATGTAATGAATATTATTAGCTATGCATTTCATTTGTTGGTTCAATCTTCTTTTCTTCCTTTCAATATAAAAAACTGACTATAATAGTAAATAGGAATTTGATTCTCTGAATTACAATTGTTCATTACTGCTAGTTATTCTCCAGAGTCCTGATATTATATAGATTCCCCCATTTACATAAGAAGAAACTCAAACTATTTGGGGGGAAAAAAAAAAAGAATGTGACTCTAAAGCTAGAATAAAAATACTTAGCCTTGAAATCTCAATTCATTGAACTATGGTTAACTTTTTTTTTTCACTATCACATTGCAAAGCCATCACAGAAACCTCAACATAAGCAACAGGTCTTAATCAAATGACTTGCATTTTAAAGAAAATGAGTGTTTTCCCATCAAAAGGAACTCTAGTGCTGGGTGTAGTGGTATGTGCCTGTGATTCTGGCACTTGGGAGTCTGAGGAAGGAGGAGCACTTAGAGTTCTAGGCTGGCCTGGGCTACATAGCAAGATCCTTTCTCAAAGAAAAAAAAAAAAGGTGGGGGCGGGACTGGGGATTTAGCTCAGTGGCACTACACCTGCCTCACAAACACAAGGTGCTGAGTTTGATCCCTGGTCTTGAAAAAAAAGGAATTCTAAAACACAAGTGCAAAAATATTTAAATACCAACACCTATTTCAATTCTCATTCAATATCCTCATAGTTTGGGCTCTCTCCCACTCACCTTCTGGACTTATCCTCGGAAGAAGTATATATTCTTGTGTTGGCTGATCCCACCACTGAGCCCAGTTTAATGCAATTTTATGGTCTTGTTTGTTAAACTCATCTTTATGATATTTGAGGAATGAGTCCAAAACAGATTTGTACTTGAAAAAATCTTGTTCCTTTATCCAATACCTAAAATTTATGACATAAATATGTGAAGCACATATATATAATTTTTATTTTTAAAGAAAAAAACATCATTCCTTTTTATCTGCTGAAACATTTTTATTCTTTTAGGGAAGACATAATTCTGATTATACAAATACTGAAGTATTAGGAAATTCCTAAGTCCTTTCTGTATGATGTAAGTTTTATTTTCCTGGGGAAAGTAGGCATAATTCCACATAAAAAAATTGTGCACATAATTAATATGAACTAACCATCATCTACAATATTATCAAAAGGGGACTAATAAAACTACCTGGGAAAAAACTGGATCTGCATATTTTCTTGGAGGTATCCCGAATAAAACTTTTCAACTTGATGTACGAAGTCTATAGTTCTTTTCTCTTTTTCAGAAAGATAATTATTTTCTTTTAAAATTTCAACCTTGAATAAAAAATAATCAAAGCAGTGACCTCACAAAAACCAAGTGTATTTGCAAAACAAAAGTCACAAGATTAAATGCCATTTAAGGATTATATTCTGGAGCCAAAGCTGTACTTTCTGGAGCCCAGTATATAAAGGCTTGTATTTGATCCCCAGAACAGCAAAAAAGAAAAAAAAAAGTATTCTGAACTTCTGAGTTAATATTCAAATTTTCCATTGCCAAAAATCATTTAAAAAGAAGAAAAGATGGTCATATATTTACATATTAATTGAACACTGTTTATTTTGAAGTATTCCTTCCAAATTTTTAATTGTGGCTTTGTAAAAAATGTAAGCTACATAGTCTCACCTGTACCTACCAAAAAGTTCTGAATATTTTTATCAGTTGTATAGAAACATATCTTGAGCAGCTGGTCTTTTACATCAAAGCCCTATAATAAACATAGAAAATAGAAAAAACCTTAGGTTTTTTGTAAGCAAAATATTTATCCGTATATTTTAAATATACACACTGCTAACATTCATCATAGGGAATTTGTACCTTTATATATCTTGCTTTGTATATCTTCCCCTCGCCTCCCTCTGACCCCTCTTCCCCTCTTTATTTACAAAAGCTTTGTTTCCATTTTTCTCTTCTATTCTTTTTTCTTGTCCCTTCTTTCCTTTCCCCCTCCCCCTTCCCTTGTTCCCCTTCTCATGTGAACATTTTCTTCCCATTTCCCAATATCTATTATGTTGGGTCTTTATTTCTTCTTTTGAAAAACCTTAGATTTTGTAACAATTGTTCTGACATAATAGGTCAGGTACAGAAGTACTTTATTACAGACATGTATTCTGTTACAATACCACACACCTTTTCTGCTCTTACATTAGCTTTCTTACATTTTTTATATATATTTACTGCATATCCCTAAAGTCCTTAAGCACTGTGCCAGAGCAAAGGCAGAATTTAAGGTAAGGCCAGGCTACCATAACGATGAAGATTGCAGCAATTTTCTACAAGTCATTTGAAAACAAAGGTCAACATAAATGACTTCTTACAGCTTCACTTCTCTGCACTTTCACCCCAATCATGCAGATGATCCCAATCATCCAGGAGCTCTACTTCTAAGTCTTTCGCCCTCAAATGACGTAAAACCATGGAACATGACACTCTAGGCCAAGGCATAATCCACCAAAAGTTCAAACAACATGTATGAAGTCACATGAACAATACAGAATGTTCTCCAACAAACAATGAGGCCCTGATATGTGTGAAGGTTTTTGTCAAAGATTCTCTTTTTACCAGGCCTAACGGACAGAGAATGAAAACCTCACTTTAAAAAAATCTCTCTTAAAGAGATATGGAAACAATTTATGCATTCTTCACATATTTAATGAATTATCTGCCTTAAAAAGAAGGAAATCCTTCCCAGCTACTGAGGAGGCTGAGGCAGGAGGACTGTAAGTTTGAGCCCAACCTGGGTAACTTAAGTGAGACCTAGTCTCAAAATAAAATTAAAAACGGGCTGGGAGTGTTGCTTAGTGGTAGGCTGCATGACATTCTATGTTCGATCCTCTATATAAAAAAAAAAGAGTCCACCACGAAGAAGGTGGTGGGGCCAGAGATATAGTTCAGTGGTAAAAGGAAAACTCACCATTTGCCATAGCATGGAAAAACCCCAGAGGACCTTAAGTGAAACAGGCCAGACACAGAAAGATACACGATCACAGTTACACATGAAATTTTAAAAAGAAAAATTTAACGGATAAAAACAGAGGGAGGTGTCAGGGATTTGGGTCAGTGGTTCCAGTGCCTGCCTCACAAGTATAAGGACCCGAGTTCGATCCCCGGTACCAAAAAAAAATTTTTTTAATTTAAAAAACAGAGGGAGGAATGGGAACTTAAGATCAGAAAAATGGATTGCACTACTCACCATATTCTTCAAAAGCTCAGAGGCTTCCTTTATATTGCTGTTTTTTAAATTGACAAAGACCAAATCTAGGCCTATTCTAATCAGCTCCTCGAGTCTTTGAGCAGAATGATTATTCATCCTGAAAAAGGTTTGTGCTTCTGGTATTTTGTTGTTTAAAATGGCACTAGCAATAACTTCCTAGGAAAAAGAAGAAAAATGTCCACCTTTTAGGTTCCTTTTTATTTTCTTACTATGATTATCAACACAGGACTTTATTGAACACCCACTAAAACCTACTACTGGATTTGATACTAGGCAGAAGGGATATGAAGCTGAACAACACAGATCGTATTCTCCAAGATCATGCAATCTAGTGCAGGGTGTACAAATAAAGCACCAATTACAGTGCTGACTGATAAGGGCTATGAAAAGAGAAGCCCAAGATGCTAAAGAAGTGTCCAAAAGAGGTTCATCTACATGAGAGGTTACAAAAAAAAAAAAAGCAAAAAACCCAGCAAGTGTTTTACATATACACACAGAAAAGAAGTGTTCCAAAAAGAAGGAGTATCACGTGTAAAGCCTTCACTATACTCAACATAACTGAAAGAAAAGCTGAAGTAAATAGCAAATTAAATTTGAAGTCCTTAAAAAGCAGGAAATCGGGGCCGGGGATTTAGCTCAGTGGTTTGGTAGCCTGCCTTGCAAGCGCAAAGACACGGGTTCAATCCCCGGTACCAAAAAAAAAAAAAAAGAAAGAAAAACAACAACAACAACAAAAAAAGCAGGAAATCATTTCATATTATCAGCCACAGTTTTAAGGAAAAAAATTCAGAAAGCTATGTGGAAGAATAAATTGAAGTGATTCAAGGTCAAGATACCCCAGTTTTGCAGTAATCCAAGTAAGAAGAAACGAAGACCTAAATAAACTAAAAATCTAAAATCCAGAGAGAGAAGGGTGTATTCCTAACCCGGGCCTTAAAGGAGTCAAATCATTTCATATTATCAGCCACAGTTTTAAGGAAAAAAATTCAGAAAGCTATGTGGAAGAATAAATTGAAGTGATTCAAGGTCAAGATACCAAAGTTTTGCAGTAATCCAAGTAAGAAGAAACGAAGACCTAAATAAACTAAAAATCTAAAATCCAGAGAGAGAAGGGTGTATTCCTAACCCGGGCCTTAAAGGAGTCTGTAAACCCTGTTAAGCCATGTACAAAATTTCGTGTATGTGTTACATACACATACTCACATACACGCTTCTGGGGACAGTGTCCATAGCTTTCATCAAAGTGAACTGTAAACCCCTCACCAAGAAGTTAAAAATCAGTGATTTTGAACAAAAAGAATAGAGTACCATGGATAGTTCCTTGGAGAACACAAAAGGGGTAAAAACAGGAAGAGAAGCCTTTGGAAGCAACAGAAAAAGCAGTCAGAAAAAAAGAGCAGGATATGGGCCAGGGATTTAGCTCAGTGGCACTGCACCTGCTTGGCAAGTGCAAGGCCCCTGAGTTTGATCCCTGGTACAAAAAAAAAAAAGCAACAGCAACAGCAAAAGCAAAGAGGAAAAAAAAAAAAAAAAAAGGCATGATATCTGGCTGGCATGGCGGCACATGCCTATAATCCTAGCATTCAAGAGGTTGAGACAGAAGGATCTCATCAATTTTGAGGCCAGCCTGGACCACACAATGGGTGTTCAAATCTAGCCTGAACTACATAGCAAAACCCTATCTCAAACAAACAATATCAGGAAAAATAGGTCATTTCTGTTTGTTTGTTTGTTTTTTGGTACTGGGGATCGAACTCAGGCCCTTGAGCTTGCGAGGCAGACACTGGAACCACTAAGCTAAATCCCCAGCCCTCATTTCTGATTAAAGAGTAAGTAAGGGATACAGAAAAAATGGTCACACCAGGTACCTCCCCTTTCTGTTCCTCCACCCCAAGAACAACAGACCCAAGGACCTAGCAGCAGTCAACCTTCTCTCTTTCATTCTTGATTACCGTCTATGTTAAGTAATTTTGGCTTTTGTCTTTCCAATACTCCTATACTCCTGTGGATAAAAGGGCTTTTGAGTCCCTAAGTCTTAGGGCAGCACATTTAGGTTATATTAACTTCTACTGTCAAAAGAATACAAACAAATGGACACAAAAATTTTAACTGCAAATGAGTAAGACTTTTAGATAGGATTCAAGTCAAACACGCTTCCAAGCAATGGAATTGTAAAACAGAAATTTGCTAAGATCTAATCACAAGAGCAAATCAGTTGATTCTGTGGCTGGTGAAATGCAGGGATAGGAGGTCATAGGTCCAAGCCACTGTGAGAGCATGTCAGGGAGGAGCCACCTCAAAGTGTGTTTGCTTTTGGACCTGAGTATGCAGACCTGGCACTGAGTGGTAGCCTGACTGCATTCTGAATAAAATAGTTTCTAGATATAAATCTAAAGTACTATCCAGAGATGTAAAAATCTGTAAGATCTAAAGACCTCACTAAAGATTCTGAATCACAAGACTGAATTCTATTTATTGTTTTCTCAGAGCCTCAGGATCTGGCACATAAAAGTAATATGATAAATGCTTCTATTTACCTCAAAGCTGAGCTTCTCCCAAACAGTACTCTCCTTTACTGCAGGAATATTTTCATCTACATCATATTCATCCATAGTGTCTGTCAGCTTCCAAGGAAACTTTATCATGAAAGTTCGAAGCTCATTAATGTAGTTGGTCAAAATGTTCACTCCTTTCTGCAGATGTTCATCTAGCTCTGTGGAAAATCAGAAAATGCCAATGTGCCAGTTCATGTGTATGGTACATATATGGAAGGCAAGAGGGACAAAAAGAAAGAATGTGCTATAACTTTTAATTATGAATTCTGAAGAATGACAAAATTCAAAATTAGTATTTTCAAATTTCAAACAATATGTTTTAAGTTGTTTCTAGGTATAGGTAGCAGTATTTTAATGTAGTCTTTTTCACACACTTCACAATTAGTTCCAGGTCTTTCTGACAAGTTTCTCAGTGTCAAAAGTTATTTCATTCAATTACATGTTTAGTTTACTCAACCTTAGTAAATGCTAATTCACTGGCTTAAGCTCTTTCATGCAAAAGCAGCATTTGTATCTCCGTCCCAACATAAAAATGGTACAACTGCTCCCTTTCTTGCTGCTATTCTTACCTTCAGTGTGAATAAAAAGCTCCTTTATTTGTTTGTTCAGGAATGACAGTGTAAGAGTAAGCAATTGTTCTGAAAACTGTTTGCTTTGGGTTTCAGAATCATTTTCTTTAATTGCTGAACAAAGTAAATCCAATGCTGGTGTCAGCTCTTCCACATCTGAGAAAGAACCAAAGCAACAACAAGAACACAAGATGACTCCCAATAAAAATAACATATCCAAAAATACCATCGTGCACTATGTATAAACAAGGACCAATGTCTTCCTTTCAAAAAGCTCATGAAACTTTAATGAAAAAGACTTATTACTCATTAAACTTTAATGATTCCAGTTACTAATATTTATTATTGATGGGTTTTATTGATTGTGACAGGGTCTTGCTACATTGCTCAGGCTAACCTTGAATGTGATCCTCCTGCCTCAGCCTCCTACATAGCTGAGATTATAAGCATGCACCACCATGTTTAGCTACTGATGTCATTAACTATTTGCTGAGCACCTACATCTTAAGTATTATAAATGATGCTATCTCATATATACCTTTCAAAAAAATGTAAGTATCATTTTTCCTTTCCACAGTGAGGAAAATGAGCATCAGAGAGTAATTTTGCTCAAGCTAATTTGGAAAGTAAGTGATAAATCTAAAATCTGAACTTGAATGTGTGAGTGGACAGGCACCCCCATCCTCTGTTTGCAGCTGAAAGTTCTAATGAAGTGATTTCTTCATCTCTGCACAGCCCTACCTCTAAACTGTATCTATGTGAGTGTTACGGGAAGCTGCAGGGGCTCCCTCAGCAGAGTAGGTAAGGCTCAGTCCCATGCTTCTTATTCTAGACCCATTCCCACCCTTTAGAGTAGAGCAATGCAGGTAAGAGTAAGGAGGAATCACTGACCATCAAACAACAGGAGTAAATGATAAAAACACGACTGCAGACAGAGCACCACTTGGTACCACAAACTAGTTCTTTCCTATACATTCAAGATTAAAAAAGATCAGGGAATATTACAAATTAACAGGGGAAGACCAAGCATGGAGCTGCATGCCTGTAATCTCAGCACTCAGGAGGCTCAGGCAGGAGGATTACTGTGAGTTCATCAAGGCCAGCATAGGCTATGTAATGAGTTCAAGGTCAGTCCGACTCTGTCTCAACAAACAAACAAGAAAGTGAGAGAGCAAATTGCAGTCAAAACGGAGAGTGAGGGAGGATTAGGGTATAAGGTCAGTAGTAGAGTGCTTGCCTAGCAGACACAGGCCCTAGGTTTGACCCCTCAACATGAGAGAGAGAAAAAAGAAGGAAGAGGAGAAGGAGGCGAGAAGAGGAAGAAAAGGAGAAAGAAGGAGGGAAGAGAAAAATCCATCTCACTATGTAGTTTAGGTTTGTCTCAAACTCACGGCAATCTTCCTGCCTCAGCTTCCAGAGTGATGGGACTACAGGTGTATGTCATCATGCCCAGATGAGATTTTTTTTTTTTTGGTGACTGTCTCACTATGGAGCCCAGGCTGGCCTCAAACTTGCAGCAATCCTCCTGCCTCAGCCCCCTGGGTGCTGGGATTACAGGTGTGCGCCATGATGCCCAGCCAGATGATAATTTTTTAAAAAGAAAATATCTAATTCATATTCTCAGTGAGAACTGATACAAATATTGTCTTTTTCCTCCAGTAACTAGAATACAAATTGATTATAAACTTTTTTTAGAGGATAATTTATCAAGGCTATTAAGAATGTACATTGTGAATATTCCTAGTCCTGAAAATTCCACATTCAGAATTTATCCCAAATAATCAATTACACGTGTGAAATCATACACATACACACACACACACACACACAGAGTATTTTTGGCACATTGCCAGTAATTAAAAAGTGGAATCAATCTAACTGTCCAAAGGGGTTTGGCCTGGTAAATTATAAAATTGACCATACAAAGATACTCCACTTTAATTGGTAACTATATTATACAAAGAGGTCTATAATATATTACCAAGTAGATTATAATACTAAATATATAGAGGGAAACACGGCTTATTACTCCATCCCTCTAATGAGAGAATTTTCATGGCTACCTGGTCCAAGAAGAAAAGCTAGGCTTCTAATTTGTTAAAAAAGAAAAGTAAAGTCTTGAAAAGAAGTACTGGTAAAGTAGCAAAAAGCAAAAGAATCAGGGTGAAAATTCTTATAACAAATTCACAACTCAAGAAAGCTGTACTGCCAATATATGTCTTAGGTACAAGATAACCAATTTTCCAAGTGAATTTGATTCTTTCTTGTATAAAATTATCTTGAATTTGAAAGATCATCTATTTTCATACTAGAAATATAAAGCATAGTACAGAGTATGATCAATAAACATATCACTTAGAATGGGAACATTTATAGATACCTGAAAACTCAAGTTTCCACAAAGTATATAAATCTCATAAGAAAGTTTTGGCAACTAAAGACATCATCAGAAAACACAATAATAATTTAAAAGCAATTAAAATGATATGTACAAGTGTAGAAATCCTTGGTTTACTTACTTTTTAAATATAATTGGGATGGAAAGTGATCAAATCGATCAGGTACAGAAGATTCTGAGGATGCAGCAAAAAGATTTCCCTTGCTCTTCAAGAAGAAATCTACAGTATCAAGCTGACGATTTTCTATCCCGGCCTATTGTGGGGAAGAAAAATCAGAGAAAAATTACATCAGGAAAAAAAACATACTTGGGGGTGCCGACGCAGAAAGCTGGTAATTTCAAAGCCAGCCTGGGCTACAACATGAGGTCCTTTAAAAAAATAAAATCAGGATAGTTTCTTTTCAACTTTAGCACTTAATGTCCAAGACTAAGGAGATACAAGACTATATTTTGTATCAGTCTCTGGGTTCTAGTGAGGATTAGAAAAATGATTAATTATATAACCCAATGCAAACATCTGGGATTTCTTTCTCTCTTTTTTTTTTTTTTAATTATAGGACTAGAAAACAATTCCAGCTCTAACATTTTACAATTCTAAAACCATTCAAAGCTAAGTACTTGGGAAACATCCTTACAGTTAAGTTACAGTCTGTACGAATTAAAATTTTAAGTCAGGTTAATAATAAATTAACTGATCCCTGGATCAGTACCCACCACACACATGAAAAATAAATGCCCAACAACAACAACAAAAATAAACTGAAAAGGGGACTAAAAATAGATTACCCTTTCCAACAAGCATTTTGAGGAATCTTCTCATACTGAACACATTAAAGCCACAGACTAGGGCTGGGGGTAAAGCTCAGTGGTGAAACACTTGCCTAGTGTGCACAAAGTCTTTGGCTTAATCCCTAGCATGACAAAATAAACAAACAACAACAACAAAACAAACTCACATAGAAAACTTCTCAAAATGTGGACTGCAAACCCTGTCTCCAGACTTTAGATTCAGTAGGTACTAAAGGTGCCTAAGAATTTGTTTTTGCTGATCTTGGGGTCACACTTTGAGAAACAATGGGTCTAACACCTGGGTGTTAGCATATGAGGGAGGTTGGTGTGAGAAACACTGCTGACTTATGGAAGAAGTAAAGATAAAACAAGGGTTTGTGCAAAGTAACACTCCCAAATAAGGAATGAACTAGAACAGTAACCGGCCCCAGAGGGATGTCGTAAATTAACTATGCTTTGCTCTGGGTGGTGGGAGGAGTTATGTATGATTAAATAAGAATATTTTTGTTCTGAGGAGATAAATGTTGAAGTATTCATAGCGAAGTTTTCAGCCTTCATATGGTTTAGGCAAACAATAACAACAAAAAATCACCCTTGTTTGCAGAAAATATGACCCTGGTGCATGCCTATGATCCCAGCACTTGAGAGGCAGAGGCAGGAGGACTGCCATGAGTTCAAGGCCAGCCTGAACTATATAGGGAATTTAAAGCCAGCCTGAATTACATAGTGAGACTTTATCTAAAAATACAAAACAAAAAAAATAACCCACCCAAAAAGATCTTTTACTTAGTAGACCCTAAAGACTCTACCAAAAAACAGTAAGAGCAGCAGCCATCGCTCAAGCGCCGGGAAGGTAGGCCGGCCCCGATCCACCGCGGGAAGGAGAACCATGCCTGCTCCCGACCCAGCAGCCATCGCTCAAGCGCCCGGAAGGTAGCCACGCGGGCGCCCCTAAACCCCCATAAGCCCCTTCCCCCGCACTCTCAGACCTCCTGACTGTGCAAGTCTTTGGACCCACTCTGCAAAGACAGAGGTGGTCATCAAGGGTATTTTTCTGAGTTCCCAACTTTGAACATCTTTAAAGAAAGGGCAGGGGAAACCTGTAATAGAATGTTGCGGAGTTCAACCATTCAGAAGGATGGGGAACTCATTCTGGGCCTTGCAGCCCAAGGTCATTCAGCATCATGGGGTTCAGCCATCAGCTAACTGAGATCAGGGGTCTTGCATCCTCGCTCTGTCTGAGCCATTAAATGGTTACTATACTATATTGAAAAGTTTGTTCACTGCAGACATGTTCTGGACTGCTTCTTGATTTCAATTTAATTCAAATGATTTAAGGGTGATAGACTAGTGACTACCACAGGTGGTCAGTGTTCAAGTTGTGCTTGATCTAATGTGCTGCTGATGGTATCAGTTGGGGTAAAGCATTGCTGTTGATTTGACGAGCTGTTTTCTCTGATGTTATGAAGATGAGAATGTCCGTGGGTCGTTGGAGACACAGAAGCTAGGGTGCAAATATATCAGGAAGATTTGGGTGATAATCCAGAGATTAAACCAAGGACAGTCTGACAACAAAAATTAAAATGAGAAAACACTTAAGCAAGACACAAGGACAGACTTGCAGTTCACCAATGGCAAACAGTAGGGCAAATGAGGA